TATTATTTGTGTGTGTGTACTGTCAAATCAGATCTGACTGGTACAGGAGGAGATTGTTCATCCTTTTCCAGCAGAGCATCTGGTGGATTTGAACCACACACCTCTGGGATTGCAGTGCAGCTTCTTGTCACTAGGCCACCAGAGCTCGCCAGGCATCCACTTCTTAAACCTCATGCCTCTGGAAACTCTATGAACCTAGAGAAATGACAATAGGTACAGAAAGGTTTCAGGCCTTAGGTTCATAGGGTCACTATGTGTCGTGCTCAACGGAACAGCAATCATCAACAACAACAGTTGAAATGTTAAACTATCCTCATGGTTCTCGATTCCAAGTCTTTTTAGAAGCACTTTCCGCTCTCCAGGACATTTTCTCCCTCCACCTCATGTCCACCTCTGGGTCTTGACTCCACCTGTCGTTTCCCTGCTATAAGCAGGATGCAGTCGTCCTGGTACAATGTTGAGAAAAGTGTGCACTCCTTACTGAACACACTTCCCCGCCTCCCCTGACTTGAGCTGTTCCTACTAAAATCCCCAGATGTATGGGATCTCTTTCTGGGCTCTTCATTCTGCCAAAGTAGTCTTTCTTTTTGCTAATTACAACCATTCTTTCTGTGATTGGTGTTTGATGACACGCTTCAGCCCTGAAGGACTATTTATGGTTCTGTTCTCTCAGAATGTTCATCATTTTTGTTCTTTGTAAACATTAGAAACAACGCATCTGCTTCCAAAATTATTTTAGCCATCTTTTCGCACTTTTACTGCTATCACATTACATTAATAAACTTAACTTGGGAAGATTTTGCAACTTTTTAATGTTTCATTTTCCTTTCTAAAAACAGTGTACATTTTCCTATATCTTATTCCACACCACTCTGTTGGTTTTTGTTATACTTTTCTATTGTCACTTGAGTGAAAATTTACAGTCAGCTAATTTTCCACTCAACCACTCATGGACATTTTTCTAAATAACATTTATTTCCATACTAACAAACTAGTCACACTGTCCCACTTCCCTGTAATTCTAGTTTATATTAATCCTTCAATGTTCTCTCTGTCTTCTTTTCTTCAGTGAAACTGTACCATCCCCTCTTTGGATCTTGCTTTTCCCTCACGACCTCAATCTGTGCCTCTGTCTGCTTGCTGGGAGTTCTGGTGGCATACTCCCTAGGGAGTTCACTGGCAACCTTAAGGTGGTGACTTTGGCAGTTCAAATCCTCTCAAGTGATTTACAGCCCCTGAAAACCTGCTGGAAAGTCAGCTGTGAGTCAGTTCCAAGTTTGAGTTATCAGAATGGCAAATATTCCAAAAATTGTCTACTCAGTGTTGGTAGAGCTGTAGAGAACTCAGCAATGGGTCGAATTTGAGGGCTTTTTCAATCTAGCCACTTGTTTTTATTCCCCTCACACGTCCTTCCCATCCCTGGTAAACACCAGAAATGGTTCTAGACTCCTCCTTGTTCTTATCTGCAAGGCAATAATTTATTCAATGGAATTGATCTGTTTATCTCTCCCTGTTTTGTCTTTGTTTTAAATTTTTTTTATTGTATATTGGTTTGTATGGGAGGGCTGGTGGCCCAGTGGCAAGAAGCTGTGCTGTAATCCTCAGGGCAATGCAGTTGAGGCCACCAGCTGCTCCATGCAATCTCATCTCCTCCCCTACAATTAACTGCCTGTGAAAACCCACTGGAGGGTTAGCTATGAGTCATTTCCGACTCCACAGTGCACAACAACAGCAGTGTTGGTTTGTATATAAAATTCATATACATTGTGTTTCATTCATGTACATTGTGAGATTAAGTTTGGTTAATTAGTTTTTCCTTAAGAAAAGGTACCCACTAGAGTTGATAAACAATGTCTTCCAAAAGTCTTCCTAGAAATTGCGGTCCTGATGGTTGATCAGATATCTGGATGTTGGGTCTCCTTTTCATGGCAATCCAGAAACAGCACAGAACCTAACAGGATGCTGTGTCCCGTCCAGATTTCACACTTATAGCCAGATACTCAGGTCCTTTGTCCCCGTGTGTCCCGGGCTGACGCCTGCCTTCCTCTCTCACTCCACCTATGTCCATATAACTTAGAATTCACCTCCATCCAAAAGATTATCTGATGAAGGATGCTTTCACTGAGTCTGAAACACCCTAGGAATGTGTAGCAGTCAGCCAGCATTTGTTATGTTTTTGATGGAATAATGAGAAATGGTCACTTGATTTATTCAAAATTCTCTGGGTGGCATTGTCTCGGTCAGTGGCACTGGGGTCCTTTCTAGTGAAGGGCGATGGTTCACCACAGGAGTGATTTTGGCCCCAAGGGAACATTATCAGTTGCTACAACTTAGCCTAGATCCTGTCGCCCAAGGATCAAGGTCAAAGATGAGGCTACAGGTCCTGCCTTTCACAGAACAGCCCCACCGACAGAGTTACCCAGCCGTGTCAGTGGCACTGAAGCAGAGAATGCTTGATTGTCAAAACTCTTCCTTTCTGTGTGTTTCAGGATTTTATAGAAACTTTGCCAAAACTTTCAGGACAAAAACGTCAAGACCTTTTTGGGATTTGGAGCACCATCTATGACCCCTTATTCTGTGAGGTAAAAGGAAAACAAGCCAAAGATCCATTTGTAATCGGACTTCATGGTTTATGCCTCTTTCAAAATATATGCGTATATTTTCTTCTGACATTGAAACATAATTCAGGATTTCTTTATATTAACTTGAAATAATAACATCTCTTTTATCTCCATGTATGGTTTTTACCTTTTAGGAATTAATTTTCTTCCCATGCCTACTTAGTTTTCAGTCAATTAAAAAAGCATGACTCCTATCAGAGAAGAAGGGAGCTCTGGTGGCTTAGTGGAAGGAGCTGCGCTCACAACCCAAAGGCTCCCAGTTTGAATCCACCAGCTGCTCTGAGAGGGGAAGATGGGTAGTCTCCTCCCATGCAATTTATTACCTCTGAAAACTCCACTGAAGGGTCAGGTATAAATCCATTCCAATTTGAGGGAACATATCAACAAGAACATAATTTTTAAAAAAACAAACAACCAGAAGCTATCAAGTCAACTTCTAGAAGGAAGAAAAGCCAGGCTATTGACACTGTTTATGGGAGCCACTTCGGAATCGTATATATTACACAGTCTCAGTAGTTACATTCATGACAGGCTTTTGAGACTGTGGATTGTTTTCCGTTCACCGTGCTCCATCTTCTGGCCAGAAGGTGTGCTCTCTATTCGTTTCCAACCAGTTCCCTGAGTTCTGGGTTAGAGTCTGATTCCTTGTGGACTCCACTGGTATCGCTGGGTTCCATCCAGTGACCGTAACTCCTAGTGACCCTATGAAAAATGGATCAAAACCTTGCCCTGACCTGTGCATTCTCACACCCTCTGCCAAGCTTGCACCCAAGACCATTACAGCCACTGACCAGTACATTTTGTTGAGGGTCTTCCTCTCTTTTACTGGCCTTCTGCCTTTTCCAGCAGGATGTCATTTTTGCAAAGGGCTGGCCTTGTCTGACAACCTGCCCAAAGCATCCGAGGCAGTTTCACCATCTTTGGCGCTAAGGAGCACATTAATTGTGCTTCCTCCAAGACAGATTCGTTTGTTCTTCTGGTTGTTGTTGTTGTTATGTGCCATTGAGTCCATGATAAACTCAATGCTCTTACCCAACACTACAAAGACATCACTTCTTCTTTAGTCTTCTTTATTGTCCAACTGTCAGATGCATAGGAAGTCATTGAGACTACCAAGGCTTGGGTCAGGTGCACCTTAGTTTTTGACTGATGTGCTTGGTCTTTAGCACTTTGCACAGGTTCTCGATGGCAGATTTTTTGAATGCAACATGGCTTTTGATTTTTTTACTACTGCTACCATGGGTGTTGATTTTGGATCCAATGGGGGGGGGGAAATTATTGACTACTTGCCTTTGGGTTGTGGTGCTGGAGAAGAGTATTGAGCATACCAGGGACCACCAGGAGAACAAATTGGTCTATCTTGGAGAGGGTAAAACCAAGGTTCTCCTTGGAGGCAAGTATTTTGAAGCTCCATCTCACATACTTTGGGCATGAGGCCAGGAGGGATCAGTCCTTGGAGAAGGACATTGTGCTTCGAAAGGTGGAGGGAGAGTGCAGGAGAGGAAGACCCTGCATGAGGTGGATTGACACAATAACTGGGACAATAGGATTAGGTGTGTCAGTCAGTGAGACTGGCCCAGGGTAGGGCAGAGTTCAGAGTTGTACGTAGGATTGCTATGAGTCACAGGTGACTTGACAGCACATAACAACAATAACAATCATGATGTAATCTTTTTGGTCTAGTGGTGACGGCTTTTATTTTCTTGATGCTGAGATGCAATCTATACAGAAGACTGTAGTCTTTAACTTCTTCAGTAAGTATTTAAAGTTCTCTTTGTTTTCTGCATGCAAGGTTTAGCCATCTGCATAATGCAGGTTGTTGAGTCTTCCTCCAATCCTGATGCCACATTCCTTATCATATAGTTCAACTTCTAGAACTATTTGCTCTGCATAGAGATGGGAAATTTGTGGAGAAAAGATACAGTCCTGCATGGTTCAAATGGACTTCATTGGAAAGAACAAATTGGTTTTTCTCTTGAGAATCATCACCATACTGACTGCAATGTAAATTTTCCTAGAAAAATGCAGCAGGATCATAAAAGCTAGACCCAGCAGGTCTTGTGAGGTCAAAGAAGAAACAAGAAAAGCCAACAAAGAATTCTTGGGTGACAAGTTGGTCACCTGGATTAGTGCAACTCAAAGAAAGAATGCTTTCCATCTTAGGTTGGTGATTGTATCTGTGGTCGGAAAAGCTTGTGAGCCATCTGATATGCAACTACTGCCCACTACTCCAGTGGAGGAAAAGAAAATCTAGGAACTCAAGGGCTCTGAGAAGAAGTGGATTCACAGGACTGATAGCCCACACAGCCTCTTCTCACCTGGGAACAGAATCACTACACGATGCCCAACTGCTCTTACCAACCATTCCAATCAGAGACACGTGGCAGGTCCCAGAAGTGAAGAAAAGTTCAGAGCAAAACTCAAATTCCTTAAAAAACTAAACCAAACCCAAAAACTCAGACCTAGACTGGACTGCTAGAGACTACAGGTATCCCAAGACTAACTTCATAATAACCTTGAACATGAAAGTGAGGCAATTTCTTTTAGCCACATAATAGATTGGTTTGTGACATGAAAAGTTTCACCCGTGAATGATGTATTCCCTTACACAGTTAGCTATGGGAGCCCATCAACATTTTACTAGAAGTAAAGGTGAGAAGGCAAGGAAGGGAAGAGATTTCGATAAAGGGAAACAAACGATGGAACTAAGAATACTGACACACTGACAGTTACAACTGATAGCATGGGACAGTTTGTATAACAATTGTGAACTGACCCCACCATCACGTCTGCTCATTGTGACTCTGGAGGACACACCTCGTCAGGTGTCTGAGTCTGTGACTCTTTGTAAGAACAGCTCGATTCCTCTTTCCCCTGCTGAGCAGCTGGTGGGTTTGATCTTCTGGTAACATCCCAATGCTTGGCTAATGGTGTCACCAAGGCTTCTTAAGAATTGTTGAAGGGGGAACTAATTTGCTCCATAACTTTTCAGCTAAACCATGATA